TTTAATTCTTTTTGTTCATCGTTTTTTGCGTTTTTTTCGTTGTTATCGCTTTATTCTAGAGTAGTTCCCGTCAAAAAAGGGTACCCTAGCTTTTTTGTAAACGGTGCCCTTAAACGAATGGCTGCTTCCATAGAAAGTGGATAGAGAGGACAGGGAACACAAGGGATAACTGTACCATGCGCGGTAGGATACATGGATGGATTGGATCGAAATTACCCGGCCAGTATGAACTCTAGGATCAGAACAATTTGTCAAGTTACTTCTAAATGACGTTTCCAGACAGAGACTGAACTCACAGGCAAGACTCCAAAAGCCATAGGTTTTGCTTTGTCTCCAGTATTCCAAATGCATTTGTTGAAGAAATACATTTACCATAGCGAAATTCTCTCTGAAATTGATCGCTTCAAAAATGCTGACTTTTTTTTCCTAATTTATCTTTTACGAAAATTGAATAACCGTATATTCTGCTTTATAACTATAAGTATCACTTACCTTACAAATTTTGTACCGAATTCGAAATTCTCCAGGTAATCTGGCAGTTCTTTTTTGAACAAATTCGAGTATGACGACTGAAAATAATTTCCAGGAAATTTTGTGAAATTTGAAATGGATTTTCGTAATTTAAAGGGACCATTAGTATCCACCTATTGTAAGATGAAGTTGAAGAAAAATCTCGGGGAGGAAAAAAATGGGGATGGACGAGTATTCCAGAATTTTGCAAAAGCTCGTTCCTTGGAATTCTGCTTTTGGGACTTTCCAGGATAAAGGAACATGTGTGGCGCTTGCATTCCCGCGCTTTTTTTCGCTATCGCTAAACTTTTATATCGCTAGGAGTGTCGCTTCATCTTTTACATTTGGAGGCGGAACCGGCATCAAGGGGTGGAGATGCCTTAAGATGTATTTGAGGTTTCAGCCTAGTTCTAGACATGAACCATTTTATATCGTTACACCTTTAGCAATTGGACAAACTTTTTGTGACGCTTGAAGTGAGTCTAAGTTTTTTAGTTCACACGGCTTTCAAGGTCTGAACAGAGTCGGACCTTGCTGTTGAACGCGGTGAAAAGCTCAATTTTTACCTGTAGTTCGCGATAGAGTCGTTTAAAATCCTTCAACATTTCATGAGTGACTGTTTTGATGTCTCCTACGGTACATTCGTGCATATCGTGAACGAATTTTGACAGCCTTCTTTCATTTTCTTGCGTAACGTCGTCGAAGAACAGCAGACTCAGTGTCTGGAAAAAGTAGAACTGGAATGGTTGGTCGCAAACTGATTAATCGTATTCGGTGGCAGAAATGAAGAAGTCACCGTGCAGCTTATGATCCGACCAGTAAAAAGGCTTTGAAGCATTCTCAAGCATGCCCCGTCATGATTTTGGGTTTCACATTGTTTTCAAATAAATAGTTATAGAAGGTAGGTAGTCGTAAGTATGAAAGCCCTAGGATTACGCATGAGTGTTGCTTACCCTGATGGCAGTTCCATTTTCCATATAAGACTTGAATCTCGGCCACTGGTCTCTTTCCAAATCAATAATCGCTTTGTGAAGAGAATGTTCAAGATCATGGATAATCGGTTGATACCAACTCTGAAAACCTTCTTTTAGCTTACTTTGATCATACAGAGTCTGAATGACTAATTTTTTCTCTTTTGTAGTAAAATACTAATATTGGAGGACATTCGAGACCTCGAAGAAGAATGGTAGAAGAAATTACAAATGAAAAAAGATAAAATTCGCTCAACAATTCTTATATAGAAAATATTTTAAACTAAAGAAATATCCTCAGCTTGTTTCAATCATTGAAAATATGAATTGAAATTACATCAGAAAACTCGTCCTCGAAAAAATGGCGCATCCGTCTCGACTGCATTTTTTCAGCCCACGCTCGTCGTTGCAACCGTCCGGTCTCATACTGAAAATATTTTTTAACATGCTCTCATATGCTTTGTGGGAACATGGAGGGTGTTGAAGGCTAAGTCTCAAAATAATAGGGCGCTTTTCCAGAAACAGGACCTAATGTCTCACTGAGCTGTACGTATTTATGAGTTATGTCGTCTTCGTTATTACAGCTTTTCTTGTTTCTAACCAAATTACCTGTGTCATTAATTCAACGATTCGATCCATACGGCTTGTTTCTGGATTGACCGTACTGGAATAGGTCGATGGTGAGAAAAGCCTCCACATTTTGTCAATCTGTAAATCATTACGATGATCATTTTTGTCTACAATTGGCCTTGACTTAATAACTGTAGCTAATATAGTAAACATTTAACAATTTCATTTGCATAACGCTACTTTTCGCTTATGATTTCTGGTGAAGACAGCTTTCACAGTTTGCCGTTTTGTCTGACAAAGGCGGCTCTCACAGTTTCCCGGAGAGAGTTAAAGAATCCAAAGAAAATGGATTGTTGGTGATTTTTCCTCTGACATTTATAGATTTCAGCATTTCTGGGACTCTAGATGAAGATCTCAGTGTAAGGTGGTACAGTTGTAATCGACCGTTGAGCGAGAATTGGTATGCCTGTCCTTTACGCCTTCTCTCTCCCTGGCAATTTAGGAGGTATACTCCAGGTATCTGACATCGTCTTGGGAAAAGCTACTGTGCTCTAAAGAAAAACGAATTAGTGCAGATGCAGCTTGGATTTTCTCGGGCTTGAGGTTAGAAGTTTTAAAAGTATGCTTATTGATTTTCTCAAATGTTAGGGAACGGGGATGGTGCCCACGCCCTTCCTGGGCGTGTTATAGATCCTTACAAAGGGAGGAGGGGTAATGGGCATAGTGTAGAACGACGAATAAAAACCGATTTTTTTATTTGTTTATTTATTTGTTTACCTGTCGCTTATATGGTTTTTAAAATCTTTAATGAACTATATCTTGATTGCCTACTACGTGAAACAACTTTTTATTGGCAATAGGATTATCAATAATTATTACCAATCATTCTCACTTTCATAAAAATTCAATAATAAGTATAAAAGCCTGTATTACCGTTTCTCCAATTTCTTGTATCTCCTTGAGAGCTGATTCCACTTGATCACCATAGTATCGTTTAACTTCTCCAATGCTTTTGAACTTCCTTGGATCCTTACGTTGTGCTTGAGGATCAATCAACTACAATGATGGGGCTTTATTTTGGATTGGGTTTAGGGTAGGGTACATGAGTAAACCTTACAAAAAACACTTGATTTGCCCGTTTTTCTTCACTAGGAGGTGGCCGGTTGTCCATAATTACGGCAATGGCTTCATGACGAATACTGGAAACTTCTTGGCTTCAGCTATTTTTTTTGTAAACAAAATCAACAACAAACAACCTGAATTCTGCAAAACATGGTGCTTTCTCCATAAGCCTGTCGTAAACGCCGACAAAGTCGTGCTCATGCCATCCCCAATTGTGTTCCGAAACACTGAAAACGACCACTTTCTCCAAGTAGAACTAAAGTCGTTCTCATGTTGAGCGTATGGGCGGAGCTTTCAAGTGCAATGGAGTTTTGGAGAACAGACACTTAATGATCGTCTTTTCGTAGGGGAGGGGCTTCCATAGTAGGCGGGACTGTCTGCTTGCATGAAACATACCGGCAAATTAATGGATTATTTGTTTTGGAGAAATTCGAATTAAATTCTGATTTATAGAAGCAGAAAAAAATAAAATAAAATAAACCATGAATCTCCGAAGTCTATGACCATTCTTTCAAAATCTGAACTCAAAATGCATATCCAGTCATGCTGAATTAATCTGTAAGACGAAAAGCAACTCACTTTCGTACAGCCGACCTCAGTCGTACGATTCGCCTTTTCGTCCTCAAAAAGATGTCTTCCTGATATCGTGCTTGTTTTTCGTACGCTCGGTGAGCATTACGTTTGATGTAAGGAACCTGAAGTCGACCTCTCCCATATGTTTCAATGAAAGTATTAGAAAGTTAATGGATTCGACTTTCTCATGAGCTAAAAGTAGGACAAACCTGTACGGGATCTAAATAGTTATTTTCTTCGCATTGGAAAAACTTCTCGTAAGTTCGGTTTGTAATCTCCAGATATTTCTGAATAGACTTTCAATTTGTAATCAGATAATGCTATTGTGTTAAAAAACAAAGGGAGAAAGCCTGCAGCTACAGCGTTACCAAAGCGTTACTTTTCAAGGCTAGTTAGATTCCGTAAGGAAAGGGGTTCAACGAAGGAGGGATGGGGTCCTTGTCTAGAAGAATTCTTCTGACCCAATTAGATAAGACTACGGGGACGTTTATTGCTAATCAGTAGAACCCTTCGAATTTGAGTTATCTGAAGGGTAAAGAGGAGAAGGATTAGTGAAAAAAGGGGGTGAGAACTTTTTTACAGCTTTCCTTTCCTAGTCAAGACACTTCCGACCTTGTTTAGAAGACCAAAATTTCCAAGAGCATTAGCATGTCTCATGGCTTTTTGACGACATGCATTAGGGCTTACGTTCACTGAGTTTGCTTTTCTACTTCAGAAAATCTTTTTCTCAATGGTTTCCTTCTTTTTCTCGTTTATAGTTTAGAGCTTCACAATAAGAGCTTCACTCAAGTGGGTAGGGAACAGTTGTTAACAGTTATGTGCAGCTGTCCTGGTCCATACCATCCTGTGCTCACTCTTTAACTATTCCACAGGATCGCCTTAGAGGAAACGAAACGACGAAAACGCAGAAGAAGTAAATAGTAGTGAGGAGTTCGATGAGTAAAAACCAAAGAAAGACCATAACAACTACAACTGAAAGCCGACAAACTCCATAACTGAGGGTGTATGGTAACCTGACGGCAATCTGTAGAACTCAAATCCACACAATTGTCGGCTTGAATAGTAGGTTAGAAAGTAAACTGGTTAGATCTGCGGTATCTATCGGATTGATGTAAGTAAACTATAAAGAAGCATTAACGATCTTGCAAAGAGCAAACATACAAGAGAACGGTCGCTCACATCTTCTTCGATGTCATCTTGTTCAACTTCTTCTTCGTCATCTTCCTCATGCCCTTCGATCAGAGCCGGCATCAGATGTTGTGGTAGTATGTTCATGTCCTGAACAGGTCAGGGATGATAGTAAGGTCACTCCTGATCAGTAGTTATTATACTTTCGATCAGAGTTATACTTAGAAGCAAGGTGAGCAAAATGTGTCCAGAAACGTTCTCACAACAGGCCTCACCCTCACTCTACATATTCCCCTTTCCACTTTCCTCTTTCTTGATTAACTATCCCAAAAGTTAAGCTCTAATTCTTTAAATTATCTCAATTTCAAATGCGGCTGTACACATACTACACGGCAATCATAATTCTTCGAAATTCATGGAATTATTCTATTATTCGGTCTTCATCCGAAACGACCCTCCCCAAAATGAAAATCTTATGCGGCATCGAACCTTGAACCCATCGAGGGTACCGCAACGTGTGGCTGACACTGTTCACGAGTAAATATCTAACTTGTACCAAATCCTGACCCTGACCATTTATTTTCTCTGTCATCAGTTCGTTTAACTTATCTGTTTTTTACGCTTTCTATGAAATTTACATAAGGAAGATACCTGCCACGCGATGTAATCTACACTTTCACAATTGGGCAAGCATTCGCCATCAGAACCTCGTTCCATCGATTTTTCGATTACCCCACGTACACATCCAAAATAATCGTCCACATTGCACGACTTGTGATGAGCTGAATGTAGGAAATTTGAGGTGATTCCGTTAAAAAAATGGCGCAGAGGTTGAACACTTTGTCTGGCGTTCGTTAGGCTTGGGGATCGCATCCCCCCCCCCCCCCCCCCCCCNGTTCAATCCATCAGAGTAATCTATTAGAGTATAAGTACAATACAATACAATACAATACAATACAATACATCAAAAAATTGATAAGGAAACAAATATGGACGGAAAAAATGATACCCAAGTTGATAGAAATGAATAGTTCAAAATAATTCATGACTTCTCTACTGAACAGTAGTCATAATCCATGTTGCCCCTTTATGAAACGGTTTTGATAGGAACTTCTGTCATTCACCGTGCAGGAAGGCTCAACAGTCATCATGCCGCACAACTTGCCGCACGGCCTACTGAGCGGCAGCTAGTGCCCGCTCCCACCCCAGAGGAATATGGTGATGGGCACAGGATGGTGTAGGTTGGTTAGTGAAGTGAAAGAATTCGAATAATTTATGAAAAAAGAACCCACCAATGGGTTCATTGGTGAATGCACGTGCTATAGAACAATCACATTCCTCTTCAATTGATCTCAGCATTTTCCGTATGGCACAAGTACGAGAAGAATTGAATTTGTTTCCAGCTTCTCTTCTTTGTTCAGGTGTCTCTGTGATACAATGTTCACCTGGTAGACGATTGTGCTGTAAAAAAGAGGTGAATTCGAGAGGAACAATACAATGAGGTCGGTGCATTTTTCAAAACTCAAAGTGGATTTTATATTATTTGTGGTGGCTGGAGAATAGTAAACAGAGGTGACTGAGGTGTGAGCCACCGTATACTCAATATAGGCATTTTACAGGGAGCTGGAGAGAACGGTAGGAGCTCAGGGAACGTCATTCAAGCAAGAAAGACCGAGTGGCACGGACGGGTCTCGCCAACCGCCTCTTTTCCACAGCAGCCTACCGCCATCGTCGTAGTCTGCTTATATCTAATGTGGTGATGGTCCATTCTAGTAGTGCCAATAAACTTTAAATAACACATTTAATAAAGATTCAAGTGATCTGAAGATTTAATTTATTCTGTGTAAAAAAAGAACGTACGTGTTGCATTCTAAAGCGAACATCCATCGAATATCCACTTGGGATGTTCACTCCGTTGTGAGTGGTCAGTGGAACGCTGCTCTGAAAGTATTGAATAATTCAAAAAACGTCAAAATATACAGCCGTTCAAAAGTAGTTGCAGATTTGGACAAGTTCGCACGCAAAATATAAAAATTCGGCAAGCAGCCGCTATGCTGCGTATCAGCAGCAGACGCGCTGCAGCCGCCCGCCCAACTTCTACATATTGCGGTCGGTTTAGAGTTTTCCGAAGTGAGTATGAACAAGAGATTTTCCTCAAACTGACCTGATTGTAAATTAGGATTTTGACACCTGGAATGGACCGTGTCTTGAAATGAGCTGTACAAGCGTCTATCCTCTCATATGTTTCTATATTGAGCAGGAGGCGAATAGCATGACCGACACCTGGAAATGGTCTGCCGTACCCTCACAAACAAATCACCTCTTCAATAGTCTATATAACTCGAGAACAACGAAAACTCTGAGTGCTCACCGCTTCCAACGACCTTGAGCGGATTTTCCGGCTCAGTATTCAGTGCCCAACAGAGACCAGAAAGTGTCCAAACGGGTTTAAAATCGCTCATACGACAACTCGTCCCATTTGGCCATGTACAGCTAAATGTATTGTCACTTTGAAAAGTTTTTCGGAAAGTAGTCAGTTGGTTTGGCTGCTGAATACTTACCCAAGGATCATTCGTGATTTCCAATGAGCTGCACTACGAAGAAATCGCACAGCATCCATGTCCCAAGCTTTTTCCATAACCTGTAAGTATAAATTGGTCAAGGGATACATTTTTTGATGTTCTCAGTTTAAAAGAATTACGAAAATTTTTAAAATGCGTTATTACTGAAGCGGAATGATCTAGAAACTTCTAGAACGTTCACTTCGGAAACAGATTGCCAAGTCGAGCTCAATACCAAACAAACCCAAATCCACGCTCATTTTAAGGTTCTCCAACTTACTTTTTGGCCTGGAACAATTTAAATAGCTTCCGGAACCTCTAGAATACCCCATTTTAAAAGTAACTTCGTCGTTTACTAAACACAACACTATCAAAAAATGATCTACCGTTCATGACAGGCACTGCTCGATAGCTCCCACTATCACCTTCCCCGCCGCTGGTCCTTTCTCTGTATCATATTGACGAGAGATTTTTCGAGGACTTCAAACAGTGCCAGATACGACGCAAAGTCCAACCAAAACGGTAGGAGTGGGTGGTAGCACATGGGTTGTCGTAGGAGACATCCCGAATGATTTTTGATGACTCGGACGTGTTGGTGGGTGAGTAGGGATAGGTTCCATCGCGTGGTGCGCACTGTTCAAGTGGTGCCTTACTTCAACAGCGCTTAGCTCTGCAACTCCGACATCCTATGAGATTGCCACTAACTTCCCGGACCTTCTTTCCTTCACTCGTAGGTTTCCCTGGACTCTCTCATCTGGAGATTGCCGTCAAGCAAACAGCATGGAACAATACGTCGCAGGCAGAGGATGTAGTAAATTTCTACGGGAAGGTACGTACACAATGGGGCTGCTTGTGAGCTGCAGGCAAAGACCCGGTTAGGGAAAACACTAGGCCGAGTGAAGCAGTCCTGATAATTTGAAGGAGAAGCTGGGCTTTTTTGTAGGTGAGGATTTTGAAGAAGGAATGTAGTTTCAACTTTTGAATCCGAAATTGTGTAAACAGAGTCCGATTGGGAAGCGCTGAACTGGAGGAGAAGGTTTCGGCTGGTTGGCTCGCCCCGATCTGCCTTGTGTAGTGGTAAGCATGGCTGCTTTCTAAATATTCGACGAGAGTTCGATCCCACCTGGTCCGCATATTTTGCAAATGGGAATAAGTTTACATTTCTCTAATTCCTCCTTGTCAGTGATTTTCATGATGAAGAACAGCATCCGATACGGAGCTGGGCTTGTCCGATGGCCGGCGGGCACTTCGGCTCAACGGGCCGAGCCCACACTCCTTCCAGTGGAAGGGAGTGGGCTCGGCCCCGCATTGAGCA